AAGGAAGATGGAAGGAAAGATGGATGGATGTGAAAGGAAGGAAGGAAAGGAAGGAGATGGATGGATGTGGAAGGAAGGAAGGAAAGATGGATGTGAAAGGAAGGAAGGAAAGAAGGAAGGAGGGGTGGATGTGAAAAGGAAAGAAGGAAGATGGATGGCAGGAAGGAAGATGGAAGGAAAGATGGATGTGAAAGGAAGGAAGGAAAGAAGAAGATGGATGGATGGCAGGAAGGAAGATGGAAGGAAAGATGGATGGATGTGAAAGAAAGGAGGATGGATGTGGAAGAAAGGAAGGAAAGATGGATGGATGTGAAAGGAAGAAAGAAGATGGAAGGAAGGAAGGAAGTAGGTAGGTAGGTTTTAGTTTTGGCTGCCAGGGATCAATGCTGAGCATGCCCCCTTTGTGGTTCTAGGTGCCAGTGACCTTCGACGACATGTCGGTCTACTTCAACGAGAAGGAATGGGAGAAACTGGAAGAATGGCAGAAGGAACTCTACAAGAACTTGATGAAGGGCAACCACCAGTCCTTGGTCTCTTTGGGTAAGGGGGAGGCGCCGCTTGTCCTCCAGGTTGGGTGGGCTGCAATTCCCCCCCCACTCCTCCCGGGGAATAAAGGAGAAAACTCCCTAACCGCGAGGATGATTAACCTGCTTGCCACCAGAAGTTGTGGGTTCTTCATCTCCAATGGTCTGGGGTTGTCTTCTGCTCCAGCAGCGGGGCTGGATTGGAGGCCCCCCGAACTCCTTTCCAACCTGTCATTCTATGAGGGGCTTCTGGTTGGGCAGGGGGTCGGACTAGATTCCCTTTCTCCTTTCTTTCTCCTTTCTTTCCCATTTTCTTTCTTTTTCTTTCTTTCTCTTTCCCTTTCTCCTTTTGCTTTCTTTTTTCTTTCTCATTCTTTCTTTCCCCTTTTTCTGCTTTCTTACTTTTTCCTCTTTTCCTTTTTTCTTTCCCTTTCTCCTTTCTTTCCCTTTCTCTTTTTTCCCTTTTTTCTTTCTCTTTTTCTTCTTTCCCTTTTTTCTGTTTTCTTTCTCCTTTCTTTCTTTCCATTCCTTCCTTCCCCCTCCCATCTCAGTGTCATTTCCTTTAATTTCTCCTCAAGCACACCTTATACTTCCCTGCTCCTGCCCTCTCCCCGTACCTGATCCCTCCGGTGCATTTTGAACCCGAGTCTGGTCACCTGGCCCTAAAACCAAGGGCTGACCCCTGCCCTCCCCCCCCCCCCCCCCCCAGATTATGCCATTTCCAAGCCAGGTGTGTTGTCCCAGACCGAGCGAGCGAGTGACTCGTGTCACGGAGACGACCGAGACTCGGAGGAGCAGGGAAGACTTCCTGATGCCACAGCAGGTGAGTTCTGGCCTCCCTTGGGAAGAGATCTGCAAAGAAATTAAATGAAATTATCTTTAACTCAGGCAGAGATGGATCCATAATGAGATGAATCTCATTTCACCCTTAAACTCCCAGAGTTTCTGAGCCGGCATGCTTTAAGGGGGGTGGACTCCAACTCCCAGAATTCGCCACCTCCGCAGAAGGGTCCTAAGCATGCAAACAGGCCCTACGTCCCTTTGTTCAGGGCCGTTTGTAACTTGGGACGGTCGAAGCGAAGCTTTTCTGACCTTTCCCTCCCTGCAGCCGGCATCAGGGTCGTGATCAAAACGGAAGAGCCGCATTCTGACGAATGTCCTGGAGACGTGGAGCCACGTCAGATGTCTGGCGGTTCGGAGGGCGATTTCCAGGGTCTGGACCCCGAAGCTCCCTGTGGTAGCCCCTACAGCGCTGCCACCCCACTGGGAAACTTCCCCAGCAACAACCTGGAGGAAGGAAGCGAGTACGACGTGAACTTCGGCGAGATCAAGAGAGTTACTGTGCAGCACAGCAACTGCACGGGTGAGTAGACACTTCTAGGATTCCCCAGGGGTCGTGTTTTAAGAGGGGTGGACTTCAATTCTCAGCATTCTCCAGTGTGCTTTAAAAGAGGTGGACTTCAGCTCCCAGAATTCCCCATCCGGCATGCTTTGGTCATAAGTCGAGGACTACCAGTACTTAAAAACCCCGAGAGACTCTGGAATGTTTTACAGTTTCTGTGTTTGAGGATGGCAACCGCCTCGATTTGCCCTCCTGCCCACCGCGAGAAGTTTTGAGCCAAAAATGGTCTTTCTTTTCACCGCGTGCTGCTGCGTGAAACCCACTGATTTTGTTTTGCTTTTCTGTCTTTCTTGCAAGATGACGGGATCGTAATCAAAATGGAGGAAGAAGAAGAGGAAGAGGAGGAGGATGAAGAAGAGGAGGAGGAGGAAGAAGAGGAGGAGGAAGAAGAGGAGGAGGAGGAGGAAGACCCCGTCAGTTTGGAGAACCGGGGGTTGTTTTCGTCCCGCGCCGAGCCACCCTGCTCGCTGGCTTGCAATGTAGAGGTTCTCCGGGAGGAACAGAGGGTGACCAAGCCAACCCGACCCACCGTGGGGATCTGTGCCCCGCTTTGTGAGAGAGACAATAGCGTTGAAACGCGGCCGGTCACACTGCAGCAGCGAAACCGGACGCGTGAGCGGCCGTACATCTGTCCGGACTGCGGCAAGAGCTTCATTCTGCGGATCAACTATATAATCCATCAGCGTAACCACCTCAAGGAGGGGCCCTATGAATGCCACGCCTGTGACCTCAGCTTCCGCATCAAGCAGCAATACCTCCTGCACCAGCGGCTGCACACAGCACGGCGTGGGGTAGCTCCTCCGCCCCGCCGCGGACAGACGTACCCTAACAAGCGTAACTTCAAGCAACAGCCTCAGCCGCCCCTGCCGCCTGGCAAGCCCTACAAGTGTAGCGAGTGTGACAGCAGCTTCAGCCACAAGTCGAGCTTGAGTAAGCACCAGATCACACACGTCGGCGAGCGCCCATACTCGTGCGGTGAGTGCCGGAAAAGCTTCCGGCTGCAGATCTCACTGGCCATGCACCAGCGGGTGCACACCGGCAAAACTGAGCTCTCCTTCATCTGTCCTCAGTGTGGGAAGGCCTTCAGTCGGCCGTCCCACCTGCTGCGACACCAGCGGACTCACACGGGTGAACGGCCGTACAAGTGTAGCCAGTGCGACAAGACGTTCAGCGAGAAGTCGAAGCTGACCAACCACTACCGGGTGCACACTCGCGAGCGGCCCCATGCCTGCAGCGAGTGCGGCAAGGGTTTCATCCGCAAGCACCATCTGCTCGAGCACCAGCGTATCCACACGGGCGAGCGGCCGTACCACTGTGCCGAGTGTGGGAAGAATTTCACCCAGAAGCATCACCTGCTCGAGCACCAGCGTGCGCACACGGGTGAGCGGCCGTACCCATGTACGGAGTGCGCCAAGTGCTTCCGTTACAAGCAGTCACTCAAGTATCACTTGCGGACACACATGGGGGAGTGAGGGGGAGTCCCTGTTTCCTGCCCCCCCCTTCCCCCCAAAGCCAGCCCCGGTATTCAGGGACAGAGGACTTAATCGAGGAGAGGGTGAAGGACGTTCTGCAGAGATACCTACCTCTCTGCCCAACAGAGCACTGAATCGGGGTCCCTCCCTCCAAGCCAGTAATGGGTTTCTGGCTCAACTAACCTTCATCTCTTCCAGCACTGTAACCTTGATGGACACAAATTATCTTCTCCAAGCTTCTGGCTTCCTTTGCTTCCTCCCCCTTCTGTTCTTTTTGATAATAAATGTGCAGCCTGATTTATTTGGTAAGCATCTGCTTAAACTTCTGGCTTTCTTTCCTTTGGCTATTAACGGGGGGCCACGGTGGCTCAGCGGCTAAGACGCTGAGCTTGTCGATCAGAAAGGTCGGTGGTTCGAATCCCTAGTGCTGTGTAACGGAGTGAGCTCCCGTTACTTGTCCCAGCTTCTGCCAACCTAGCAGTTTGAAAACTGCCGGCCACGTGACCAGTCTTTGGACAGCGCTGGCTCTTTGGCTTTGTAATGGAGATGAGCACCATCCCCTAGAGCTGGAAACGACTAACTCGTATGTGCGAGGGGAACCTTTACCTTCACCTTTCCCCAAAATACTGGCGGGAAGGGCAGAGCCGTCGGTAGCGGGGATGATGGGCTGCGGGGAAGCCCCCGGAACAGTTTATTCCTAGAATCCCAGAGTCTTCAGCGACGCCTACAGAAAAGGATACAGCTCAGCCTTCCTTATTTTAGCTTCCTTCTGTGCGTGATATAGGTAGTCCTTGGCTTACGACAGCAAGTGAGCCCAAATGTTCTGTTGCTAAGGGAGATAGGGGTGTGAGCTTTGCCCCACCGTATGACCTCTCTTGCCACAATTGTTAAGTGAATCCCTGCAGTTGTTCAGGTAGTAACAGTTGTTCAGTGAATCTGGCTTCCCCATTGACTTTAACAGAATAACGGAGTTGGAAGGTACCTTGGGGGTCTTCTAGTCCAGCCCCCTACTCAAGCAGGAGACCCTTACATAATCACAGAATGACAGGAGTTGGAAGGGACCTTGAAGGTCTTCTAGTCCAACTCCCTGTTCAAGCAGGAGACCCTTACAGAATAACAGTGGGAAGGGACCTTGGAGGTCTTCTAGTCCAACCCTGCTCAAGCTGGACATCCTGAAACATTTCCAAGAAACGGTTGCCCAAGCTCTTCTTCAAAGCCTCCAGTGTTGGAGCACCCACAACTTCTGGCATTGCTTGTCACATGGTCGCCATAGGGATACTGCAATAAAGATGAGTCAGTTTGAATTTTGATCACATTACCACGGTGGTGCTGCCACGGTGGTGCTGCAACTGTCGTAAGTGTGAGAAATGGTCATAACTCACTTTTTTCAGTACCACTGTAACTTCAGTCACTAAATGACCAGTTGTAAGTTGAGGACATGTTTATTTGGGGGGAGGGATTGCCAATGGAAGGCCTCTGGCTTATATTTTGTTTTGTCTCAGTTTTTAGTACATTTTGGTACATTGATTAGATGTTATCGTTTTTGTAAAATCCTTTCTCTGGAGGGAGGAGAGGATTTTGTAGCTAAGGTGGACACATGGAACGTTCCCTTTGAATCGGTGTTTTCCAAAGATGGCCACCTTAAAACGCGTGGACTTCAACTCTCAGAATTCCCCAGCCATCCGTTTCTTCGTTCCAGAAAGATGGTGGACTCACCAAGTGCTTTTCTCTGATCCTGCCCATCGGAGGATCTCGAAAGTTAAAGACATTCAATAGTGATTAAGAAAGCAATGCAATGTTATGTCCATTATTGGCTGCATGGTACTTTTGATCCCAACTCTGAGCTGCTCAGTTCCCAGTGGTTCCCACAAAACCACGATTCCTGCATGTCAATCAATCAGAATAGAGCTGAAAGGGACCTTGGAGGTCTTCTAGTCCAACCGCCTGCTCAGACAGGAGATCCTATACCAGTGTTGGCGAACCTTTTTGGCACTGAGTGCCGAAATGGGAGTGTGCGCATGCAGGGGAGTGCTGGAAACCGGAAAAGCAGTTCCCCGGTGTGTGTGTGCAGGAACGCTGGGAAGCTCAGCTCCCAGTTTCTGGCACGCATGTGTGCCGGCCACCTGGTCTTCTGGTTTCCAGCGTGCATGTGTGCGTGAAGACCAGCTGGCCGGTGTGCATACATGTGCCGGCAACTGGAAGAGCAACAGGCAATGGCTGGCATGCCTGGAGAGATGGCTGTACGTGCCACTTCCGTCACGCGTGCCATAGGTTCGCCATCACAGCTCTATACCGTTTCCAGACAACTGGCTGTCCAGTCTCTTCTTAAGTGTGGGAGCACCCACAACTTACGGTGGCAAGCAGTTCCACCAGTTAATTGTTCCCACAGGAAGTTTTTCTTAATTCCAGGTTGGTTCTCTTATTTGATTAGTTTCCATCCATTGTTTCTTGTCTTGCCTTCTGGTGCTTTGGAAAATTAAGTTGACTCTCCCTCTTCTTTGAGGCAGCCCCCCAAAGACTGGAAGGCTACTATCATGCCCTCCCTCACTTAGTCCTTCTTTTCTTCAGACTGGCCAAACCCAAATCCTGCAACCGTTCTTGGTATGTTTTAGCCTCTGAGCCTTTAATCATCTTAGTTACTCTTCTAAGATTAGTTTAATCATTGTAAACACGAGACAGATGCCAAGTGTTCTGAATTTTGATCATGTGACCACAGGGATACTGTGACACGTTGTAAGTGGGAGAGGTGGTCCCAAGTCACTTTTTTTCAGTGCTGTTGTGACTTTGAACGGTCACTAAATGGATGGCTGTAAGTTGAGGAGTATCTATTAGGAACGGTGCAAGGGGGCTTGCTTTCCAGCCTCATCTGCCGAGGGGGGGGGGGGGCTTCTTGCAAGGGGGGGGGTCTTTTGGGGGTCCTTCAGGCAAGGGGAGGAGGCTTCTGGCAAAGGGA